ACAAAATAATTATTTAAATCACATGTAAATTTATATTAATTTTTTATATAATTTTTATATATTATTAAATAAGTGAATATATTTAATATTATAAATTTAAATAAACAAAATAATTATTTAAATCACATGTAAATTTATAATAAAATGTAATATAAAGTCGCTATCGCCACTTCTACTCTTCCGCTATATTCTACTCTTCCGCTATATTCCCCCTACATGCAAAAAGTCGCCATGCATGAAAATCCCCATCCTATATTCCACAAAAGAATGCATGAAAATCGCCATCCTGTATTCCCCCATCCTATATTCCACAAGTATGGGTCCCATCCTTTCACCTTATATGCAAAAAGTCGCAGAATGCCACCCTATATGCAAAAAGTCGCAGAATGCATGAAAATGTTTATTGCTCTTATAAATCTATATAAAAGATCCCACCACCATATCATAAGCTCTGAGATCGAAAAAAGAAATAAGAAATGACTAATAATCTGACGGATCAGGAAGCAGAAGCAGAAGCAGCAGCAACTCTCCTTGCAATGCAAGCAGAAGGGTCACCGGCAGTCAATATTCGCAGATTTCCGATTCTCCCAGAGGCTCGGGAGCCTGATAACTTGTCCTCTGCCGAAAGGGCTGCCGTCAACGAGTCTCGAAGAGTTCCTTATAACTTGCAAGAATTAATATCCCGCCGGGGGTGGGGCGCAAGAAGACCCTGGCCGTTCTGCCATTGCAAGAAAACTACCAGAGTGGGGCACAAAAAAAGCTCGTTCTGGACCTGTTATTGCAAATTAATCTGCAGATGTTTCGTGTTGTTTGGTGTAACTCCGGTGGACCGTGTGCCGGAGTTGATTTTTGTCTGTACGTTAGTTTTTTTTTTGTCTGTCGTTAGGCTTCTAACTTTTTAAAATAAATTGTATTATATTATATTTAATATATATTTCTAAAATTCAATTAACTTAATCTTTTGGACTAATCAATCTGATTTAATTGCCAAAACTATAAACGAAAGATCAAATTTTATATCAATTTGCCTCATGTCCTCCCTCTACCATTAATAAACTTCACCTGTCCTCCCCTACAAGTCAAAACCATATCAATGTTATCCCTCCATCTAATTTAAGTTAATGGTACTGTTTGTTAACCAATTAAGTGCAAATGATCATGACGTTTGGGTCTTTTTTTAATCTTGTTTTTGCCACCCATGCATTGTGCCCCATCCTTTATGTC